TTGGAGATGACAACTGTTCCTCTTCTCCTTCTCCTTCTCCTTCTCCTTCTCCTTCTCCTTCTCCTTTTCCATTCCCTTTTCCATTCCTTTCCATTCCCCTCCTTCTCCTTCTCCTTCTCCTTTCCATTCCCTCCTCCTTCTCCTCTCCTCTCCTTCTCCCCATTCCCTTCTCCTTCTCCTTCTCCTTCTCCTTCTCCTTCTCCTTCTCCTTTTCCATTCCTTTCCATTCCTTCCATTCCTTCTCCTTCTCCTTCTCCTTCTCCTTTTCCATTCCCTTCTCCTTCTCCTTCTCCTTCTCCTTCTCCTTTTCCATTCCCTTTCTCCTTCTCCTTTTCCATTCCCTTCTCCTTCTCCTTCTCCTTTCCCATTCCCTTTTCCATTTCTCCTCCCTCATACTTTCATGGGTTCACCCAGGAAAAGAGTTATTTTTGACCCCAAATCGATCCCCATTTCCTTGATAAGCGATATTTTTACTTTTAACAGCTAACAGTCGTTTCCTCTTAGCGCAACGCTTTCTAGTAGTTATGTAGATTTCAAAGAACGAGCTTTAATTCAGATCTTTCAGCTCACCAGACTGGATTAAGTAAAAACTACTAATACTAATGCTTAGCTCTTTATAGAAGAAAAGACTTTCTGGTATTACTACATTGTGGGGCAGGCTTTTGAATGAAGAATCAAGCACTAGAACGGTTGTTAGTATTAGACTCATGGACAGATGTGATAAATCTGGCCTAGCAAAACTCTGGTACTTGATTTGTACTATTTTTCATCAAAAATTTAATTATAACTTCTATTAGCTGAAATAAAATGTTTAGAAATAACACCATATTCTTGAACAAAAAAAAATAATGAATAAGCTTCATGTTTCTATTTTTATGTTGTTTATTTGTGCTTTGCTTTTATCTAATTGCTTTCTGTTTTCTTCAAGTTATGACTCATTTTGTCACCAGATTCCGATGTGTCATTAAAGAACTGAGAATGCTTTTTCAAAAGATGATTCAAAAATTAGGAGATGTGAGCCGAGCTGATGACTATTTTACGCTTCTAAAGTTTTTCCAGAAGCTCAACACTCTAATCCCCCACAAGATCTCATTGTCAGCTACATTTTTCGACCTCAAATCGATAGGTTCTGATAAGCGGTTCTCGAGATTTCGAGGAATTTAGGATCTTTGCCTAAATTTGCCTAACCGGGTCAGGCAAAGAGCTTCTGACAAGTTTTGAATGCTTAGGGTGCACGACTATTTTCTATTTCTTTTCTAGTTAAGCATAGTTAAGCATCTTTTCTATTTTTCACTTGCAACAATGGATTGCAAGTGCAAGCAATCTTTGCAATCCATTGTTGTAAGACTAGATCTTTGCAATCCATTGTTGCAAGGCTAGATCTTTGCCTAGCTTTGCCTAACCGGGTCAGGCAAAGGGCTTTGCAATCCATTGCAATCCCAATGAAAATTAATTAACAAGTTTTGAGTCTAACAAAGTTTTTAGAACCATTCTAGGATTTGTTTTGCAAAATTATACATAATCTAATGTAACCAATCTATTGAATTATTATCTGTGAAAGATTTTTGGAAGTAATTCATGTTGACCCCAACGAACGCGAAGCTGATCTTTAAAAATGAATCGTCGATTTTTATCGTCCCCCCCGCCCCGCACACACATGAGAAATTGTCCCTTTTTTCTTGTCTTGATCGTTTTCTTGATATTTTCTTTTCAATATATTTTCTTTTCTCATTCCAATATCAACGATTCTCTTGTCGATTTTTGGCGCAGAAAAAAACAGCGCCCATTAAAATCGACGACCTTTTTTACCCCCGCCCAATGGAATGTGAAAATTTTCAATCAGCAAATCCACCTTTAGAGATTTGAGGTTTTGTTTTTGTTTTCACTTTGTTTTCTAAAATTTTTTTTAATGTTTTTGAGCCTTTCAATCCATTCACCTTTACACGAACTAAACGGGAATTTCTCTTTTGCAAGAAATAAAGATAAGTATTCTGTTCGATAGTCAACCAGCAGTTTTACCTGTGAACCACAAGCGCGTTATAAACTTTCTAACAATGAATAACCAAAATCTAAATTTGATTCTTTTACCAGTTTGTCACATTAAACGATGAGTACCGGCCTCATCAAACGATGAGGCTTAGGCAACAGACCACTTGCTTACCAGGCGAATGCTCTACCAATGAGCTTCACCGACACGTATCCTGTGCTAATTGTAAACTTTCGTTTTCTATTTTGCACTAAAAGAATCACCGAGTCTTCATAGCCATGTACAGTTATCGACTTATCTATTTTTAGGCAATCAAGAGGAAAACAAGTCTTCCCATTGTATCATAGATCGTTTTTTTTCTTGTCCTTCTTCTTGTCCTTCTTCTTGTTCTTCTTCTTGCCCTTCTTCTTGTTCTTCTTCTTGTTCTTCTTCTTGCCCTTCTTCTTGTCTTTCTTCTTGTTCTTCTTCTTGTCCTTCTTCTTGTCCGGGAAATTCCCGTTGAAATCAATGATCCCTGTCATCTGAATGATTCCCCTGTCCCTTCCCTTCCCAGTTTTGACCCTTCGTCGTCACTGAACTCCGTTCTCAATCACATTTCTCTTCAATTTTCCTTTTCTTTCGTTTTCCTCCTTTCTTTTTCTTCGCTGAATATCTGATAAAGCGATTTGATAGGCTTCATAAAGCCAAGGCATGATTTTCCGTGTTTATCAGTAAGACTTTTACCCCAGACAACTCAATATCCGTTTACGTCTAAATAAATAAATAATATCAAACTTCTAAACAAGTTTAACAATGTCTAAACTTTGTTACCTACTGAGTCTTTCAAATTTCAAATGCTTTGAATTTGAATGCTATAAGCTTTGAATCTTTCCACCGATCACGCAACTTTTTAACTCCAGTTTGCCTAAATTTCCTCAAATTTTTCAAGTAATCTTTTCAACTTTTCGACTAGAAAAACACCTTAAATTGGTTATTTTCTTGTTTTGGGTGTCCTTTTTTCCCTTTTTCTTCGACGTCATCAACTTTGTTAAAAGAAGCCATCTCTCCAATCCACTCCTACACTTTCCCCCCTAGTTCCTGGTTCATTTGAAAACTCGTTTTTCAACAATTTTCTCATTTTAATGTTTGCTTTGATCTTTTCAATCCTTTTTTTTTCAGAAACGTGAATGGTTTTATTGGTGAGCAGTCGAAAGCGATCGACATCATTCAAAAAAGAGGCTGATGGAGAATTCAGACATCAGGTTGGTCAAGGAAATATTCTATTGTAAATTGTTGGTCAAGGAAATATCTATATCTATTGAAAGTTCAAATATTCACATATTTATAATATAATATTATAATATGCAAATTGATTTGTAATTGGATATTTGAATTTGAAAAAAACTGAACAAGGTTGAGAGCGGATTAAAGTTCAAAAGAGTGATCTCTCTGACCTAGCACTGACCTAGCACTGACCTAGGACTGACCGAGCAATCTCTCATCCAACTTTGATTTAGATTCAAATTCTTGAAATTTTATCCTCTTCTCCAAATCAAATCATAATATAATACATATAATACGTATTTTCTAAAATGAAATCTTTATCACGAGAAAAAAAAAGTTGCGCAGCTCATGGCTCACGTGCTTTTCTCTATCCAAATCACATCACCGTTTCCTTTTCTCAAAAAATGATTCCCTTTTGTGTTTGATTGATGACCACACCCAAATGGATTCCTGTTTTGATCTTTCTTTTTTCATTTTCTTCGGGTGTTCATCTCAATACTTCCGGTCCTTTCGCTATCAAAATCGGCCTTTCTCTCGAAACGATCAGTTGCTGCAGTTTTGTTTTCAGTTTCATGCAAACAACACTGCAAATGGCATTTGATTGGAATTAACACAGAGATCAGCCTATTATTCAGAAAAAGATCACTCTTAAAGATAGCCGTAATTCTAGGTGACTGTACCGAAAATAAGACAAAAAATGAGACATTCCTGGGTACTATACTGAAAATAAGACAACAAATCAGAAATTCCTGGGTACTGTACTGAAAATAAGACGAAAAATGAGACATTCCTGGATACTGTACTGAAAATGAAACAACAAATCAGACATCCTTGGATACTGTACTGAAAATGAGACAACAAATCTGATCTTATGTCTGTTCAAAAGTTTTAAAACCAAAACCGAGTACTTTATAGAGTTCAATATAATCCAAGCAAAATGTTCCAGGTTGGCGGACATCACGAGTTAGTGCGCTTGGATCGCTTTCACGTGGCGAAACCCTCGTGCACGAATGAGACCGATTTCTATCTGAACACCCCGGCACCCCTTCGGGCACACGTGCCGCACTTTTGCGCCTATGCTGAGGTAGGGTTTTGAAAAAAATTCTAGTGTTTAACTAAGTGCAAAGCCTTAATAGCTAATAATATTCATGAATCAATCACAATGAATTCTAGAGCGATTCCGATCCGTTGCAAGCTACGACGAGTACCATGTGCGAGAATTGCCTTGTAAATGGAGCTCCGACACTTCCCGGTTTCCTTGAAGATCCCTCAACTCCGAAAAGAAAGTCGACAAAATCCAGGTACTAAATGATAGCTTATTTTTGCCATTTATTTCTTTAATTTATTATGATTAGTTACCGTAAATACTGTAATAATACCCCACCCCCCACCGCGTACAGTCGCGTAGTCGTAGTCGTAAGTTTTTTCGTATTTCATTTTTTACAAAGCACCCGTACTTTCAAAAAATGCGTCTTTAGTATCAAAAAAATAGCCCTGAATTTCAGCTATTTTTTGATACCTAAGCGCGCACTGTAGCATAAACCAGTGTCGAGAAAAACTCGTTCAAAGCTAGACTACGCAACACTCCGCATCGTCATTATGGGGGTGGGCTTCTATTACAGTATTTACGGTATGTAAGCAAGTACAATAGATTCCATTGCATAAATGTAATTCTAACTTTAGCGGTGCATGTGTTGTCCTATCCGATTTGACATCAACATTTCGTCGCCCATCAATTGTTGATTTAAAAATGGGCACTCGACAACACGGCGATGCCGCAGCGCCTGAGAAAATTCGACGACAAACAGACAAATGCGCGAGAAGCACATCGCTGATGTGGGGAATTCGATTATGTGGTTGGGAAAAGATTTGGAAATTTGTAATCAAAATCGTTTAAGGACTCCAATACTATGATGCTACCACGGGAAGAACTACGCACATTGACAAGTACGAGGGGAGAACGATTGAGGTGAGGGAAATGGAGGAGCTAGTGTTTGGGAAAATTCCACCTTCGTTTTCTCAGCCGTCTCTTGGCCAATTGCTCTAAAATTTTGTCCACAAATAGAAATTGGTATTCTCTGCTTGTAGACAAAATTTCAGAGCAATCGGCTGAGAGACGGTTGAGAAAACGAAGGTGAAATTAGGTTCGGCGTGGAATTTTCCCATGTCTAATGCTTGCCAGTAGACAGAAATTGAGCTATCTTTCATCTTCCTGGATTCTAATCCATATACAGTACTCTCTAAGCATTCACGTAAAGAAATTAGCCAAATAGTATCTCAAGTCCGTATCTTGTCAGCATATAATCACTCAATTTGAGATCGAAGAGCTGTGGAGAGCCGTTCGTGGTTTCCTCTCGTATCCCGATGGTCGCCCGAGAGAAGCCGTTATTCGAGGGGTTATTCGACAAATCGAACAAATTGAAGAGGTGAGAATCTAAAAAAGTTGATTCTATTGGGTTGTCCAGTTATGAATGCGCGTTTTTTACTATTTTGTAAATTTCTCAAGATACCGAAATCAAGAAAAAGTTATATATGTTCGAAAGCTGAAGATCTCCTCTACATTTTGATATAAAAAGCTTTTGAATTTGTCCAGCTTTTGGGCAAATTGACTGCACAGAAGAAGAGGTGGCCAAAAAATGGAAGGGTGCCTTTGGATCAAGTTTTGGCTCCGCTCAAATTGAGTTAACCGTTTGATGTTTGGCCAATAGATATATCAATACAACTTTTTTTTAAATATAACAATTTCAGAGCATCTTTACTTTTCTTTTCTTTTCTGGGCGGTTATTTTAAACCATCAAAACTTGAGGAATAGCTAAGCTGAAATGGGGTTTTTTTTTGAAAACGACCTCTCCCTTTGTGCGGTCAATTTCCCAAAAAGTTGAATGAATTCAAAAACTTTTTTATTCCAAAATGTAGAGGAGATCTTCAGCTTTCGAATGATATATAACACTCATATACATCTGTTCGATATCTTGAGAAATTTAGAAAATAGTAAAAAACGCGCATTCATAACTGGACAACCCAATATTTGAATTCTAAACTTTAAACTCTAAAATCAAAAACTTTTTAGGCGATAACATTAATGGACGGGGTTCGTTTATTCGGCTCCTCGTTGCTCATTGTTTATGAAGGAGACGCTTTGGAGGAGCCACAGAGTGAGGCTGAGGCTGAACAGGTAAACAAAAGATAAGCTAAAAATTCATCTAAACATCTAAAAATTAAACAATCACTCAATTTGCATTAAAATTGAATTAAAACATTCGCTCTAAAAGAAACTAAAAGGAAATATTGTGTAGAAGGAAATGTATTGTGGCTTTTTAAAAAAAAGTAAACAAAAGCAGGATATTAGCGAAGAAAGATTAGATCTACAAAACAAATATTTCGTTTAAAATCAAATCCTCATTTAGTTAGTGAGCGTTCGCGTGGTCGATTTCGCAAACGCAACACTAGCCGGTGGGAGTCATGTGGGCGCTGATCAAGGCTTTCTTCTCGGTGTTCACTCACTCAATCGCTTCGTTGCAGCTCTTCTCCATTCCGGCGACAGTGACATCGATTCTGAAGGGTCATGCAGTCCCTGACTAGCCGCATCGACTTCGTGAAGTCATTGAAGAACAAGAGCCATTTCTATGGTATTCTATTGTATTGCCAAATTTTTATGTTTGATCCTATCAGATATCATTCCAAAAGTATAGTCCCTGGTGGCCTTATTCTTTGAGTTGAGTCGATTAGACTACGCTGTGTTCCTTTTGACTACCGTATTCCTACCATATCCAGCAATGAAAAACTACTGTACCTGCCTGATTTTACTTGGTAGTGACTGGTGTTTAATAAAGCTTTAGTTACTTTTAAAAGGTTTACCGGGTTACGGTAGCTTTAGAAAAGCTAACAGGGCTTCGCTCAAAAGTGTTTTGATTAAGACTTTCTTGTATCAGATAGTCTTGTTGTTGAAAACAATATCAGAGCTACGATATGCAGAAAAGAAACAGGGTTACGGTAGCTTTTCTGAGCACTTTTTAAGCTAGCTTTTAAGCTTTTTAACGAAACTCTTCGATCAAGAGGAATCCAGCTTCTTTAAAGCTCAGAAAAATCTGTGAATAACTGTACTTACTCAATTATATTTTCAAACTAGCATGCCAACTGTGTTTTTTTTTGATCAATTTCTCGTTTACTGGGTTTCTCGTCTTGCCTCTATCGAATTTTCCCCATTTTTTTTCTTATGGAAATTCCTCTCTTTCGCTCAAAAGTGTTTTGATCGAGACTTTCAGATAATTTCACTGTGATCATCACTGAATTCCCCGTGTTTTCTTTTTTGTGCCTTTTTTTTCTGATTTCTCATCCTCAACATTCACTCTCAAACACTGTGTTGTGCTGCTTTTTTCAGAAATAAAGATTTTCAAAAAAAAAAAAATCATTTAATTACAAGTAATTTACATATAATAAAATGTGTACGGTATCTGAGCGCTACTTAGAAATCCTTGAACAGACAACAAACTAGAGAATTTAGAGGCTAGAGAGACTAGAACAGACACCAAACTAGAGACAACTAGAGAATAAAAGTTTTGTGTTTCAAAACGTTTTGAAACTTTTTGCGTTTTTTGTCAAAACGTTTTTTGCGCTGCGTATCATTTGCGCCAATCATTTACGCTTATGAAAATCATTGTAACAAATCACTTTTTCCGGGATTGGGGCAAATGCGGCCTTTTTTGCGCACCTGTCTTTGCGCCTTTTGCTGGAAAGGCCTTAGGCGGCCGGTAGAGCCTTTTCAAAAAATTTAAAAGGGGGGGCCGTCAAATTTGGGCAAAGGCAAAAACAGCAACTTAACGCTTTTCCGCAGTTTTCCTTTTAGCCCAAATTTACGGGTCAGCGGGGTCGATTTGTCGAAATTCGGAATCTACGCATACGATTCCCTATATGGAATCCGAAGATCTCTACGGCCTTGCCTAAGGCCTTTTCAAAAAAAAGGTTGCAAATGTAGGAAAAGTCCCACCCCCTTTTTCCCAACTTCTAACCAACTTTTTTCAGCTTTCTGCTTCATAATTTTAATTCACATTGTTTTCAATTAAAAAAACACGTTTAAACACATATACAGTCCCAAAAACAGTAAATTTTTGTGTCACCGATTGGGCTTTTTGCTCTTTATAGCGATTTTATGCCATTTTCAAATCCGGCGAAGGCGTCAAAGCAGCAAGCAGTGAATGGGAAAAAAGTAGAAAACAAAATAAAAATAAACAATCAAAGTTGGTAGGAAAGTGTGTTGAAAAGCATAAATTTGGCGCAAATGATACGCGGCGCAAATAATTTGGCTCTTTTGCTAGCACCTCAAAGTTTTAGTAAAGCACGAAATTTCTTTGTTTGAACTCTTTCTAAACAAATGTTCTCATTTTTCACTTCTAAAGGTTTCTTTTTAGTGATGATCGACTGTCACGCGCATCTCGTCGACAAAAAATTCAAGAATGATATCGACGAGGTGATCGAGAAAGCGAAAGAGGTAACTGGATTGGGGATTTTTTTATTTAATTTTTTTTAATAAACCTGTAAGATGGAGCGAATAACTTGTTCAACTTCTAGGCTAGAGTATCAAAAGTGGTGGTGGTCCCCGAGTGGCCGTCACAATTCGACGCAGTCTTTGAGCTCTTCGCGAGACATCCCGATTTTATCGTCCCATCCTTGGGTCTCCATCCGATTCGGGTAAAAAAACTTATCTACTTAAATTCACCACTCACAGAAAAATCACAAAGGTGTCAATCGAGAGGAGCTGAAAGAACTCGAGGCGGCTTTGGAAAAGTATAAAGGGCTGGTGAAATGTATCGGTGAGGTGAGTGAATTGAAATTTTTAATGGCTAACTGCTTATTGAAATTTAGGTTGGACTCGACTACACAGTGACTCTTTGGAAAATCGACGAGGATAGCATGCAAGCGATGAGAGATGTTTTAAAAGAAGAAACTCGACTCGCTCTACTGTATGACTTACCCATGTAAATGAATTTCCTTTTGGTAGGTTAATTTTAAACTTTAGGACAGTTCACTCGAGAACCGCTCACAAAGAGACGATCGCGCTTCTTATCGAAAACGGCGCGAAACGAGTGGCTATGCATGCATTTGGAGGTGATTTCAAGAAAGGAAAACTACTGAAAATCTATTCTAGGGACACCAGAAGAGGCTAAACACGGTGTTGAGCATGGCTTTTACTTTAGCATCCCTCCATCATTTTCAATCAATGACCAGGTAGTTTTGTTTGATATGTAAATTCAAGAGATTTGTATTAGGGCGCCGCTTTGGTTGCCTCCATTCCACTCGAGAATCTCCTGTTAGAGACCGATTCACCGGTACTTGGCCCGGTGAAAGGTGCTTGTTTTTGAGTGTAATTTGTATTCAAGTTTATAGGTGAGCGAAATGTGCCAGCAAATCTAATAGCATCAGCTAAATTCATAGCAAAGGTAATCGTGTTGGCAAGTTTTGTTAATTTAAAATCTTTAGGTCAAAAACCTTTCCGAGATCAATGTCATCGAGGCGACGAGCGCTAATGCAAGGAAATTGTTTCGCTTATAATACTGGTGTGTAAATTATATCCAAATAAATTATTTATTAATTAGTGCTATTAAGTAAAAAATACCCGAAGCTAAACTAGAAGAGATCAAAATACAATTTAAAACACCTGTAAGTTCTTAATTTATTGCATTTTCATCACGCACAACAACGATTCGAGCTGGGACCATTTCACCATCATCTCTCTTGACCAGTAAAGGCTAAAAGAGAGAAATAATTTCACAGCCAAATTCCTGCCTACCGGGATATTTCCTTGGTATTGCATTTGAAGGTCGTTCCACTCTTCTTCCGTAAATGTGACAACATCGTTGGATTCAATCTAGAGAAAAAAACCAAGTACCTCTATTTCGAAAACACATTGAATTACCTCTTGATCTTCTTTATTAATGAAAGTATTATCTTCATGCTGTATCGCTATCGAATCATGCGCTTCGATGAAATAGTTTTGTTGGTCAAGAGTTGAGAGAGTTTCGTCGTACAGCGATGCATCCTAAACCAACCAAATAAAAATAGTTTACCATCAAAAATCACACCTGTAACATTACACCCTTTGATTCGGCCTCGTCAGCCTCATCGCTTAACATGACAAGAGTATAAACTTGGCTACTATCCATTGGTTCAGAAACGATGACCTATATAATCTATAGAATTGCTGTGAAAATTCAATATAAAACCTGCATTGACCCATCCGGCCCAGCCACTAGTTCGCCATGAATCGTTTCTGCATTATTTATTGAATTGAAATCTGCAAAATATGTTTAATGAAGAAAATAGTACAGCGTTACCAATGAGTTGAGATTCTGTAGGCGGATTTTCCAGTTGTTGGTCTTCTGACATAGGCTGATTGTGATTTTGTGTTTCCGAGGTGGATGGGATATGGGAGCGTCTGTGCTCCGAAAAAGCGTCCCTAAATTTATGTCTTTAACTTTTAGGACAAATAAACAAAACCTGTCAGCGAACTCTTGTTGACAACAGATCCATGTCACATGCCCGGAATCCACTTTAACGTTGTAGGAAAGCGAATCGCGAAATTGAATTGTAGCCTTAAAGGGCATCAATATTAAAGAATTTGGCAAAAAAATATTGAATATTGAAAATTAATCACGAACCTCAAATTGAGATTTATTGTGGACACGAAGCATGTGCCTTATCAATAACGAGGGTCGGACCATCAAAAGACCACACACATCACAGACAGTACTAGAACTTGGTGATTTATAAACAAATACGGGACTAACCGACAAATAGGAGCCGATGATCGTGACCCATAAGACCCAAAAAATTGATGCATAGTCGGATTTTGTATTCCCAACGGGACTGATTCATAAAATAAATTTCTATTCGTCTAAAAAACGCTTATTTTTTATTATAGATAAAAACAAACATTTAATGAGCTGCTATTACGCAACAAGTTAACTCCATGCACATCTGTTTTATGTGCATTAAGTTCGGATACTGAAAGGCACACATGGCCACACCATTTGCAAGTATACCTAAATTAAAGAAAATTAATAAATTAACAATTTTGGACTTACTTTCTTTTTCTTACGTGCATAGTCTCGTTATGATTAAGTAATTTGAATTCATCTGTGAAGACTAAATGACATTCCTTGCAAGATAGACGACGAACCAGCTAAACTTCAAGGAATTAAAGAATCTACGAGAATAACTTGCCTCGGCTCCATAATCTCGTAGCATTTGTTCTCGCAGTTCATCATTTTTCTTGTGCGCCCGTAAATGGTTTTCTATGGCTGTTGGATGCCTCTGATTTATGAGAAGACCGCATGTTTGACAACTTTCAAATTTATCCTAAAACCTACTTATAACAATAACAAATAAATAACACACCGCAGAAGTTATCGGCATTGGTTGATATTCGCCTCCGAGCATGTTATTGATCTTCACCTAAACATATATTTGCTAAGGAAAAATTTTTAAATAATACTTGTCGGATGGCTGCTTGAGTTACGGCTTCTTGGCGAAGACGTTGCATTAGTACTCTTTCACGTCCCCTGTAACATTGACATTA